AAAACTTGTTTTTGGTTAAGTACCTTTGTATTAAACTTTATAATATTATGATTAATCAAAAAAAGAAATATGCCTATGATAGAGTTTTTTTTGTGTATTTTTTTGTTGAGTTGTTAACTCATGTTATTAAAGTGTTGCCCAAAAAAAGACCTTTTGAACAAAACATATATATAAGAATTTTGAGTTATTATTCATACAAATTTTGTAGTTTGATTTTAAATGAAATGGTCCCTTTGGGGACATCATATACTGATGACTCTGTACACAAAATCTGTCACATGCTCCTCCGTGTACGGTGCTGCCGGTCTCGAATATTCCGATTTGCCGAGGTGGTAGGAGATTTTTCCAATAATCTTTTATATAAAATATGAAATATTACCTTTATGTCATATACTATTTTGTAATAATATTTTGTAGAAGTTACTGAGTTTGGCCTTATTTACATTTAGTTTTCTTTATTTCAACTACAGTAGTCTATCTCAATAAACATTTATATATATACATATAAATTTATTCTAATACGGGAAATAAAAGGTTAGGAAAAATGAAAGTATTAATAAAGGTAAAATGAAATATGCTACGGAATAAAAATTTAAATATCGAAAGAAGCTATCCACTAATTCTTCCAAAGTTTATGTTTTTTTAATACCAAATACAAATATGTAATAAAAATGTTTAAATTATAATAAACTCAATCTAAAGTTTTTAATCAAAGAAAAAAAACTGCATTATCATTACTTTGTTACAAGATAAGAAAGTTAAAAAAAGAAACAAGAATCAAAGAAAATAATTATATATATAAAACATGACAACAGATCAGAATATCTTAATAAGTTTTTTAATCGTATGGAAAAGATAATTTAGCAAAGTCTTTAACAAAGACCAATTGTATTATATTTAAAAATGGAAAGTAGAAAAGGACATTTCAACACATTTCAAAAAATAATATATATTAGTATGAAATAATGAAGATGCAATGTTAGCACCAAACAGAAGACATGTACATAAATGGACTTTGATATGTTTCTTCCTCTCTGTCTCACGTTCATGCATGCCCTGCCTCCAATTATTTACCTATCTACAATCTAATAATTCCACATTTTAGAATATATATATTTTCATTCACATATAATATAAATATATTTTTATTTATTCTTTAATTATACCTTAGAATATAAAAGATTAGGTTGGCAAACATTTAGTATAATAATTTAACAATCGTACTAAATAATATCGTTCCAAACGCTATTCGAACCGGCGATCTTAAGGTTTTGCCAAAAATCTTTATCCGTTGAAGTTTGTATGTTTAATTTTGAATACTTAAGCAAAATTGTAGTTAGTTAACCGTATGGGTCAACAATATTACATCATGTATTCTTCTTTGTCTTTCGGAAATGGACTTTCGAGGAACGTATAGTTCTTGTTCGGAACTATGATTACAAAATGGTACGTACGTATGATCACACGTACGTATACATGAAATTAAAAGAAAAAAAAAACTAATCCAAGTTGATCATCTCGATGATGATTATAATTCATTTTGACCAAACCAACACCGGTGGTGAGTTGAACGAACCGACACCGTACCGGTCCACCTACTTTTGGACCTCTTTCATTATCTCTATCTACACACCACATCCTCTCGTTAGTTTACCAACATGACTCATGCATGGCCATGGGATTGGCTAGTTAGGCCACCATTAATAACAACAATGATCAAATCTACAATAAATAATATTAACATTTTTTTAAAAAAGATCATGTATAGGCGCTTAGCAAATAGTAAGAAAAGTGTCATTGTGGTAATTTATAATGGGTATGTTGGTTTGGTCGTTGCAGGCGGTTGCGGTGAACGCAATGTTTTTTGACCACTAAATAAAATTGACGTTCAAAAATGTTAATCATAGAAATTGTGTTCGTCGCTGCAGCAACTATGTAAATAACAATATTTGCGGCCGCTGCAACCACAAATACATGCGGCGATGAAACGAACAGACCCAATTATATATAATAGAGCTTGCTTGAACGAGTAGAGTAAGACGTTGTGGTCATATTGACGCATGAGTCCATCTATAAGTGAATGTTATCCTTTACATGAGCTCATGTTGTGCAAACCATTATTTTCTTGTGACAATTTTTATTGCGCATTAATTGGTATATACAGTATATAGAGACACTGATCACAAAAATAAAACTGAATCCAGTGAATAAATTCACAAAAATTCAACAGATATTTTTTTTAGCTTGGGAGATTATTGTGAATTTGAATTAAAGAGTGTCGGCTGGTTGATTAAAAAAATTAAAATTGTTTTAATTTAAAAAAATTATATTAATAAACCTGTTAAATCATTCAAAGATAATCTTTTTATTTTATTTTTATATAAATATTTTGCAGAAATAGGGACTTTTGCTTTGTTTAAACCTTTTTGTTACCAAACACATCCATTTGAACTTTATAATATCATATACATAAATAAACGATACATGGTTCACCACATCACCTATATTCTAATAGACATACATAAACAATAACTAGATAGATATTAAAACTAGAGTACATGAATATGATAATTGTATGTAGCTTAGCTACATGACTTCGTCTTGTATTATTTTTTTAAAAAAATTTAAAGTGATAATATTAAATTCAAATATTATTGAAGTAAGTTAAAATGGTCACCAAATTTTCTTAAAACTTAAATAGTCGATATATATATTTTGTGGTCATTTTCAAATCTGCATGGTCTCTGAAAACTACTTACTTCAATATATATCTTTGCTAGTTCTATACGTAGACACATGTGGTTTGATCATAAAATTTGATGAAGAAAATTAATTTCAAGACTATGAAATCAAGATTCTTTGACCACGTACCATCATCACCACCAATTGATTATTAGGTAATACAGTTACATTAATCCACACCTTTGGACTTTTTTTTTCTTTTGAATTCATTTATTATCAAAAGTTGTATGTTTGTGTTCGCTAGCTTCTATCTAAACTTCATCTTTGACATGGGAAAAATAATTACTCCCACGTTTTAGAATTAGTTGATATTTTGAGCAAATACATATTGAGAAATTATTTAAGTTTTACTTATTTTTAAATAAAATATTTTAATATATATATATATATATATAAATACAATTTAACCAATGAAAAAATAATCTGTATAATATAAATTATTAAATTAATAAAATCTAATTAGTTTTGCATAGATTCGTGAGAAAATGCCAAAACATAATCTATTAAAGAACGGAAGGAGTATTTGTTTGCACATTTAAACTCCATCATTCTCATATATAAGAAAAAACATATGTATATGCCACTTTATTTGGAAGCAAACACATCATCATCACATGATAATTTGTAAACGCACAAAGAAGTACATATGCTCAACTGAAATATCTGATTTTGCTATATGGTCATGTCATATGCATCAAAACTTTGATAGGGATGATGATTTCTTCATAGAAAACAAAAGGTATCAGACAAAAAATGAATACGATAGTTATACAAGATGTGAAAATTTTCATTTGTAATTTAAGGTGAACATAGTAACAAAATGGAAAAATCTATATGTATAAAATCTACATAAAAAATGAAGATATTGTTTGTAATTCACATTTCTTAACGCACACAAATATCCCATTATCATTATTATCAAGGAATATATTAGCAAATCTTAGTTATAATTGTGTTAGTATTTTAACATGTTGTTAGCACAATGTAACCATAGATTTTTATAAGTACAAACGTATTTTTTTGGTTAACTAAACAACAAATGGTACATTGCAAAAGATATTAGCGAGGCTAGATCTCCAATGATGAGTATTATAAGATTAAGCTTTGTTATATTGAATAGTTTATGGTAGAACAAAAATTTGTCACTATTTTACATATAATTCAACAACAATTATATAAAAATTTGTCCATACCATAACTTACAAAAAGCTTATTTTTAAGTAAATCTTACAAATATGTCATTTTTCTAAAATCTTATGGATTTGTCATTTACGAAAAATATTAAACTCTAAAAAACAACTGGAACCGACTAAATTCAAACATAATGGATAAAACATCTATATTTTTTTGTCAAAAGAAACTTTTATTAATTTGTAAATCATAATACAGTTTGTTCTCCATCAAAAATGGAGGATTGAAACTATCCGAGTAAAAAGTAGACTTGTTACTTCCATTTGAGCAAAATTGTAAACTGAAAATGGTATATTTAGGGTCCGAATGGTGACGGTAAATTTGGTTAAGCGTGACAAGCGATTTGATAGTGCGGTACAGTTCAACTACGGTATGTGCAGGACAAATATATTAGTGGGACAAATGCGGTAAATGCAAAATAAGCGGTAGAAATAATATTTGAAAATGAGAAATCGGAAACAAATGAAAAAATTTATAAATACAACTAAAAAAGAGTGATAAATTCATAACTGAATTTTTTATTTGTATTTTTATATATTTGATTAGTTATTTTATTGTACTTCAGTTTTGTTTTCCTCATCGTGTATAAATTATTTCTTTAAAAATAGATTTATATTAAATGAAAAGAAGGTTCATATTATATTTTAGCATTTTAAAATGACCAACAAAAAAAACATAATCATGAAATAATATGTAACTTTTGGCCCACAACCCCTAAGTAAAAAAAAAAAAATCACACATTTTGCCACATGTACGAATCAGAAAAACACAGAGAATAAAAATAAAAACTAAAAATAGTAACACTTGTTCATCAGTTTTTATTTAATTTATTTCTGATAGCAACACTTGTGAATTTTTTAAAATATTCTCTCTTCCTCTTTCTCTCTCTCTCACTCACTTCTCCATTATTATTATTTTCAGAGAACCATAAACCTCGTGGCCTCTTTCTGTGTCCCCTTTGAACCTGAGCTAACAGCTTTTACCCATATGAACCTAATTAACATTTTTTAAAAATCATTACATAAACACTTGTTTGATTGGTTTTGTAACGCTCTCAATTATTATTTCTTACAAAAATTCATTAATCATATACCTAATTATCTCCCTTATCTCTTGTTTTTTCTTGCTCAAGATCACAACAACAACTTAACGGTAATACAAAAATCAAAACTACAAAATGTTTTCTTCCACCTTCCACCACTAATCATACATTAATCTTTAGTTAATCTTCCCATTTATATACCTAAAAATTTAAGAAAATAAAATAAAAAATATATATTTCATCTCTTTCTCTTTCTCTTCCATCAAGCAAAGCTCTCTCATAAAAGAATCAATCTTTCAAAAAGAGAGAATCAAATTTTTTTTTTGGGTAATTGTGCTTTTTTGTTTTCTCTTTCTCTAGATCTGTTCTCAGAGAGAGAGAGAGAGATATAAAGAATGGGTTTTTATGAAGGAGCCTCTGTTCATCCAAGAAACCCAGAAACCACAAACTCAGTGAACATACCAATTCTCACTTCTTCTTCATCAGATCTTGAAGCAGACAACAACAATGACAAGAAAGGAATCAAAACCCTTTTGAAAAATATGATCTTTGATCTGGGTTTAGCTTGTTTCCTTCCTCCTGTAACCTCAACTGAAAACTCCAGTAGCAATAACAATGGAGGAAGCGGTGGCGGAGGCGGTGGTGGTGGTGGTGGTGGAGAGAATAACAAAGCTTGGCTTTTGGCGGAAACAGCACCGGAGAATATGAATCCTGATCCACACTCTGTTCACTCATCGTTTAGGTTCAGTCTTTGTTCACAGATTGAGCTAGAGAAGCTGAAAGGTGAAGCTCCGTCGTTGTCTGCTTCGTCTTCTTGTCGGAATCTATCTGTTTCCGGTGGTTCCACGACTGTTCTGATGGTTAATTTGGAGAATGGTGTTACTGAGACTACTGGTAACTCTACTGATGATTTGAGATGGACTAGAGCTAGGTCTCTTGAGAAGAGTATCTCTCCGGTTGCTAATACTTTGGTTCGGTTTAGCTACGGTGAAATCGTTGCAGCCACTCGTAATTTCTCTAAAGGTAACTAAAGTTCCTGATTTTGTTTGGTAATAGCGGATACGGGTCGGGTTTACGGGTAATTTGGGTAGAAAAGTTGAGAAATTTTTGGTAGGTTTTAGCTATTTGTTTGGTAAATTTGGGTATGTTCTACATACATGTTTGACTGTTTTGGTAAGGTCTCAAACTGATAGATATGACCAAGTACTAGATAAAAGATTTGGTTCGGGTATGGTTCAGATCGGGTCAACTCTATTTGGTGTAAATGAGAATAGTCTCTTTAACATATTGGTTCAATGGTTTTATAGGGAGAGTGTTGGGAAGAGGAGCTTGTAGCTATGTATTCAGAGGCAAAATCGGGATGTGGCGAACGGCTTTAGCAATCAAGAGACTTGATAAAGAAGACAAAGAGTCTCCTAAATCGTTTTGTAGAGAGTTGATGATTGCAAGTTCTCTTCATAGTTCCAACATTGTGCCTCTTCTTGGATTTTGTATTGATCCTGAAGAAGGTTTATTCTTGGTTTACAAGTATGTCTCTGGTGGTAGTCTTGAACATTATTTACATGGTAAGGGAAACTACTTTATCTCCTTTGTGTTAGTTTTATTAGTTTAGAGATTGTTTAAGATTTTCTTTTAAAGACTGATGGGTTTTTTGATGTTCTGTTTCTTGAATAGATAAGAAGAAGAAGAAAGGTATTAAGGCTGCTTTTAATTTACCTTGGTCAGCAAGGTACAAGGTCGCGTTAGGTATCGCTGATGCCATTGCTTATTTGCATAATGGAACAGAACAATGTGTTGTTCATAGAGATATCAAACCTTCCAATATTCTTCTTTCTTCAAAGAAAATACCAAAGGTAAAGACTTTGCGAAATGAAATTATCTATTTGGTAAAATTGATCAACAAATCACTAATCGTTTTGATGTGGCTTTGTGTTCAGTTGTGTGATTTCGGGTTAGCTACTTGGACCGCTGCACCGTCAGTTCCTTTTCTCTGCAAAACCGTGAAAGGCACATTCGGGTATCGATCCAAACTTGCCATGAGTTGTTTTTTTCCTCCTTTAAAGCTAATTCTTAATGATCTAATCAGCTAGTAAAAACTTCTTGCAGCTATTTGGCTCCTGAGTATTTCCAGCATGGTAAGATATCTGGCAAGACCGATGTTTACGCCTTTGGGGTTGTGTTGCTAGAGCTAATAACTGGCCGCAAACCAATCGAAGCTAGAAGAACATCTGGTCAAGAAAACTTAGTTGTTTGGGTATGTCATCTAACTTCACATCATTGTTAACTACTAGTATTCAGTTTAGTTATTGCTCAACTTCAGTACTATTGTGATCTTATCGGGTTTTCGAAAAACGCTAACTTAGCTTTTTTTGGTAATCTTTTATAGGCAAAACCGTTAATGCATAGAGGGATGGAAGCAATAGAGGAGCTGCTTGATCCAACACTAAAATGCACAAGGAAAAACTCGGTTCAGATGGAGCGGATGATCCGTGCTGCAGCGGCGTGTGTGATAAATGAAGAGTCCCGAAGACCCGGTATGGAAGAGATTGTCTCAATCTTGAAAGGGGAAGAAGAAGGACAAGAGCCAAAAACACATTCAAGCAGGAAAAACACAAACATTGCTGGTATGATCGACACTTATACACAGCTGCAACAAACTAAATCCGAGATGAAATGTCATCTTGATCTTGCGATGCTCGGAGTAACCGAGCTTGAAGACGATGATCATGTGTACGATCGATGAAAAGATATCAAAAAGAGATTGGATTAAAAGTGTGTAAATAGGTTATTTATGAAAAAGTTTGAAACAGAGTTCTTTAGTTTGTGAATCAGTGACTTGTTGTGTGTAGTGTGTACATTGGTTTCGTTTTTTGTTTTTGTTTTCACTGTGGAAAAAACCGGTTTAGGTTTTTATTTTCCGGTTTGGTTTTCTGATTTCAATATTTTTGAGCTTTTTTGAGAAACCCATTAAAATTGAGAAAATTGTTATTTATTTGATAACTGAATGATAAGTGTGTTTGTTTGTTTTGACTCATGAACCTATTAGGACTATGACTAAGTACTTTGTTACTTTGTTATAAATAGACAACAAACTAAACCTTATAACATTAACACTACAAAATCATCAATATCGACCATATTAGTTTCAACGTATGAACAAAGATGGTATCGATGAATCGTCGTCTAACGTTTCTCCTTTATGTTTTCGCCTTTAGCCTTACCATGATGAGTACCTTATCATACTCATCTACTTCCATATGGATCAGAAACCTACTTCATGAAAAGAACGATCTCATAGTACATTGCAAATCCGTGGAACAAGATATGGGATACCATAGGGTGCATCCAACAGGATCCTACCAAGTGTTACAGTTGGACTGTTATTTTGGGCCGTGTTGGTGTCATCTATGGCAAGGACCTAAGTTCAAGCATCACCAAGTGTTTGGTATTAACAATGGACAAGTATGGGAAGCAAAAGAAGATGGGATCTACTTATCGAATATTCAGTCTTTCGAACATCTTGATCAGTCAGCTTTTGTGTTTGGTTGGGATGTTCCTTTGTCAAGAGCTGCTTCCTCGTTAGGATCGAGTTGTTTCTCTTTAAGCTTATTAGTTTCTTTCTTGTTTTTGTTTTGTGTTATCTAAGTTTTGGTTTACATAATTTTATTTGAATTTGAGTTTTAGTAACCCTTGAGATCTCTACTTTATTTTATGTAAGTCTCATATATACCTTTTATCCATGTCTTCAAGAGAGCAGTTCGTGATTGCATATCGTCGCTAGAATGTTAGGAATCACACAAGTTTGGAGGTTTCATTCGTACGTAGTAGATATTAACCTCTCGTGGTTATGGCTAAAATCAACATCACACGTTTTGTAGCATCTACATAGATACGAAGAAGATGTAGTAGGGTTATACCAATCCCAAAGAGAAAAAATGAACACAATGATAGAACCTCATTTCCATGGTATAAGGATTTATGGAGCTTATTCAAATTCTTGTAGAGGAAGTAAACCGTCCCAAAGAACCAATAGTTGAACTAAGGAAATATGTTAAGATATTTCTACCTAATTTAAAGTGATAGATGATTCGCTCAAACTTTTTTTTATAGGAAATTTCCTACGAAAATCTTAGCAAACTCGATTTCCTACGAAAATTGAAAGAAATGTCGGTTTCATACTATTTTCCTACGTTTGTTGCGATAGGAAATCGTATTGTTATCAAAAATGTTAGCTCCAAGATACGCGAGTCAACATAACATACTCGTGGATTGAAAGTATTGTTGGTAACTTGGTATAATAGTAAAAAAATTTCATACTATTATTGTGTTTCGACCATTGGCAATGGCATCCTTCACACATGAACGAGAGTTGTTCTTTTCTTAACGCTCGACTGTGGTTGGATCGCCGCAAAGTGTGAAACATATTTTGTGAGGCAAAAGACGTCTTGGTATGTTATGGTTGACCATTACAAGTGTTATATTTATTTGATCACTTGTTATGTTATGGCTAACCATAATTATCGTCTAATTAAGAAATTTAAATTTACTTAAATAATAAGAATAAGTACATATATAAGTAATAACCCTAAAAGTTATTGTTACTATTTACCTAATTGAACTGGGAGTAGTATTTTATTATTATAAATATAGACAGAACAAAACTAAAACCTTAATTCTAAAGTCTAGAGAGATATGGTATCAATGAATCGTCTATCGTTTCTTCTTTTTGTTTTGGCCTTTGGCCTTACCACGATGAGTAACACAGCCTTATCATCATCTTACACACACTCAACATGGATCAGAAACTTACTTCACGAAAACAACGATCTCATAGTCCATTGCAAATCCAAGGACCAAGATATGGGATACTATAGGGTGCATCCAACAGGATCATACAATTTACTTGTCGATGCTGAGTACGGTGAGTTGTTTTGGTGTCATCTATGGCAAGGACCTAGCTTCAAGCATCACCAAGTGTTTCGTGTTCGCGATGGGAACGTATGGGAAGCTAGAGAAGATGGTATCTACTTGTCGGGGATACAAAGTTTTGAACATCTTGGTCAGCCTGTGTTCGTGTATGGTTGGGATGTTCCTTTGAACTTGTCAAGAGCTTCCTCGTTTGGTTTGTCTTGTGTTTATTTAATAAGCTTATTAGTCCCTTTGTTATTGTTTTTGTTTTATTTTATTTAGGTTAATTGGTTCTCTTATGAGTTTTTGGAATTTGATTTTCAAGTTGTGTTAGTTTAGTTTTGGTTATAGGATTCTTCTGGTTTGGATCGAACAACACAAACCTAGAATAAGGTTCTTTACCAAATTCTAAAGAAGATTAATTTATAAAGAAGACTAATTTATATATCAAATTATGATTTCAGAGATATATAATTAACTTTGGAAGAGACAATATTGTTTCTCAAATTCGATATACCATAATCACCTCTTCGAATCAAAATCTCATAAAATAATTTAAAAATTTATATTTTAAATTTCAAGAATTTGAAATTTATCTTAAACTTTCAAAAGATGAAAATTCAGAAAACTAAGAAAAAATGAATTATGATGCTTTTACTTTATCAACTCGATAATACGTTGTAGATTTATTTTGATTTACAATATTTAGATAATGATTAGTTTTTGGATGTGTAGATAGTGATTTCTTATGTATGGGTGTTTGTCCACCCCTGTAGCACCAACTGTATCATGATTATATTAATTCTTAATCAATACAATTATTTGTTGAAAAAAAAGAAAGATAATGATTAATTTTTAAAATTAATTAATTACAAATAATCGAAATGAAATAACTAAAACGAGATTTTGGTTATTCTATTCTGGTTTCGATTGTTGATCATTAACCGATTGATAATCTTGTGTAAACCAAACCAAACCGGAAAAATTACAAATCTAACCAAAATTATTCTAAAATAAATAAAAAACCAGATTTGACAAAAAAAAAAAGAAAAAAAAAAAGAAAAACAAATTTTGGTTTAGTTAATTTCAATAATATTATCAGAAATCGAACGATCTTCAACAGGGCCATGGACCTCATTTCGAAAGAGCTCTCAGTAGTGAAGTGTTCTATCAAGCTCCAAAATATTTTGGCCCAATAAAGGCCCAAAATGAAAATCATTAATTTTCCTTTTTCTTTTACCCTTTCTCCTTTTTTTTTTCTTGTATTATTTTTTTTTGTCGTTTTGCTAAGATATTTTCTTTTTTGGTTACAGTTTCCAAAGAGAGACGACTCTGACTCCCAAAAAAATTAAACATTTCAGCAAAAACAAAGAGAGCGAAGAAGAAGAAGAAAAAGACGATTTCTCGAAGAAGCTATGGCGGATCAACTCACTGATGAACAGATCTCTGAATTCAAGGAAGCTTTTAGCCTCTTCGACAAAGATGGCGATGGTTAGTTAATCTCTTTCTTCTACGTCCTTCCTTTTTTTCCTTTGATCTTTCCTGGATCTCGCTTTTTTTCCATTTCGTCTTCGATCGATGCTTTAGAACGGCGTGTTTCGTCTTCTCTGACTCGTTAATCGCTTTGGATTTGGTGTTATTGACCATTTTGTGTACCTTCTCGTTCCCTGTGTTTATGATCTTTGACCGAGTAGTTTTGTTTTTTCGATCTTCAGTTGCTTTTTGTATTTGAATGAATCGTCTTCTTGTTGTCCTGTTTCGTTGTTTTGTTGGCTTGGATCTGAGTTTTTTTTTTTTTTTTTGCGTCTCATACGTTATGGTGTTTGAATCTTTGTTTGATTTGATTTCACAGAAACGTCATTTAGCTTAGCTCTGTTCATATGTGTAGTAGAAGTGTGATTTGCTTGTTGATAGATTTCAAGGTCTTGATGTTTTAGATTGTTCCCTTGATGTTAGGCTAGTTAATTAAGGGGTTGTTTTCTCTGAGCTTGGAGTTTGATTCAAACGAATTCGTAAACTGTTTAGAAAATGATTCTTTGTCTCATGATACTTCAAAAGTATATATGAGTTGTCTGGTAGATTCATTTGCTTTTGCATCTATCATTGCTTTTAACTTTTGCATAACTGTGTTATCCTTGGTTCCATTGAGTCTTGAGTATCTCTCATGGGTTACAAAAGCTTTGATGTTTCTTCTTATTCTGTCTCCTGGCTTGTTGATAGGTTTTCAAGGTCATGATGTTGAGATTGTGCTCTCTGAGCTAGGAGTTTGAATTTTATCGAATTAGTAAATTGTTTGGATACTATTCTTGAATTGTCTCATGGTTGTATCCTGCACTTTTGAAGCTTGAAGTGCAATTTTGTGTAGATTAGTTTTCTCTTTTATTATTAAAGTGATAAGCAAAACAGATTCATGTGTTTTTTGCATCTTCATCCTTGATACTATTGAGCCTTGAGTATCTGTGATGGGTTCGAAAATGTAATGCTCTTTCAATTGTGGTTACACAGGTTGCATCACAACCAAAGAGCTGGGAACAGTCATGCGTTCACTAGGGCAGAACCCAACAGAGGCAGAGCTCCAAGACATGATCAACGAGGTTGATGCAGATGGAAACGGCACAATCGACTTCCCAGAGTTCCTGAACCTGATGGCAAAGAAGATGAAAGACACTGACTCAGAGGAAGAGCTAAAAGAAGCATTCAGGGTATTCGACAAGGACCAGAACGGTTTCATCTCGGCTGCTGAGCTACGCCATGTGATGACCAATCTTGGTGAGAAGCTAACTGATGAAGAAGTTGAAGAGATGATCCGTGAGGCTGATGTTGATGGAGATGGTCAGATCAACTACGAGGAGTTTGTCAAGATTATGATGGCTAAGTGATTGAAGACAACGACGATGACCTATTATCATGTTTCTTAATGCTTTTTAGGAGTTTTAACCAAAGAACATTTGCATGATTGGTGGATAAACTGAGCTTTAAACAGACTGGAATTTGAGACTTTCTTTTTTTTCTTCTTTCTGGTTTTTATGACTTTTGTGTGTGTAATGGAAAACAAAGTTATGTTGGTTGGAAATAGATGGTCACACCCGAATCTAAACCCGAAATTTTTGATTTAACCTATTGGGTCCTAAACTCTTTTACCCAAAAATCCAAATCCGAACCTGACCCAAATCTGATCTAAACCTAATCTCGAAAACATTCAAAATATAAATGTAAATAAATAATTTAGGATCTTAATATCCAAATTATTTATTGGAATATCCAAATTTCTACCCAAAATTCTAATTTTTGACCTGAAAGTCATGGTATTTACCCAAAAATTTGAATATATATCCGAAAATCCAGACATTTACCCAAATTTTTTGGGTTTTTAGCGGTTATAAAAATCTATACTTGAATTCGAATAGTTCCGAACCAAAACCGAATCAAATTTTATATTTACTCTATTAGATCTTAAATACCTTTACCAATAAATCCGAACCCGAACGGTTCTTACCCAAATCCGATCCGAGTACCGGAACGCCCTCGCAAGTTTGGGGTTGGGGTTTTAGCCACAAGTTAGGTTCGTATAATCTGTATGGTATCTATCGCTTTAAAGGTGGTTCCAATCCAAATTTTGCGTCCAATAAGAAAGTTTTAAAGCCTTCATACGACAGACATGCATTGGCTTATTTTGTCAACAGAGTATAAAGTGGTCTGTGTTATTTATTTGGATTCGAAGTTGAAAAGTTTTGATGCTGGGCAAAGGGGAAAGCGACACATGTAAAAGGCTCAAAGCAAGAGGTTCGCATTTATGCCAAACGCCATATGCTATATTGGCGTGTGGGGATGAAAACTAAAGCATCTATTCACTTCAAAAACAAGATTTTATTTTTAACAACTTTCAAACACGTACGAAAGCTCCGAATGGTAATCATAACGCACTATAAAACCGCACCGTAATAGTGCTATAACAGTGTCAAAATATTTGTATATACATATATATCTATGTATTTTCGTTATTATTTAAACCACACATCATTTTTCCCGCAGTGAAAAACGTAGTTACCATTCGGAGCAAAAATATGATGTTAGTTTTTATTTTTTTAAGTCTAAAATCATATGAACGTAGTTACCATTCCGAGCCAAAATATGATTTTAATTTTTTTCTTTTTGGTCTAAAATCATACTAACACTGATTAGAAATTGATTATTATGTAAGAGATATTGGGAAACTAATAATATCAATCAATAATTAAAAAAAATTTATCTATATAATGAAACAAAAAATATATGGTAGATTGAAGGCGAAAATATTCGACTTTTCTTTTTTGTAATAAAATTGAGACTAAATATTAGATGTTTTAGAGATTTTTATTTTGATTCATTATATAGGATGTCTTATAAATTTATATACAAATTATATATGCATTTGAAATGTTTGTGACTATTTATAGTCTACTATTTTTTTTACAAATGATTGTATCCATTCAAATCCAAAATTTCTTTGTAGGGAAAAAAAAACTTTTTATAGCTGTGAATTTTTAACTAACAAACCTTTTTTAGAAACGATATAGTTTTTTTTTGTATGTAGATTTTCTCAATTTAATGACACAAAACTATACTTGAAAATTATACAAGTGGTCATGACTCATGACCATGATTCACTCTTATAGTGACCAAAGGAACAATAATTATTATTATATATACCAACTTGTCCTATGTTTTTTATTTAATTAAAAAGACACTTTCCTTTTCTATAATTGAAGCATAATAAATGTAAAAAGAAAAAAAGTAAATAAAAAACTTAGAAATAAACTAACTAACAAAGATGCCTCCAGCTCACGCAATCTTTAACGCGTTTTATTAAAAAAAACGCGTTATTAACTTATTACGTCACTCTCTCTTCTTCCTCATTATTTATACAGCTCTTAACCATCTCCTTCTTCTCCACTCTCATCAACTCTAACCGTTTTTTTCACGATCTCTCTCAAAACTCTCAGATCACAACAATGTCGACGAAGAACGGAGTCGTACGTAGCTGTTTAGGTTCAATGGACGATATCAGAAAAGTCTTCCAACGATTCGACAAAAACGGCGACGGGAAAATCTCAGTCGACGAGTTAAAAGAAGTGATCCGCGCTCTCTCACCGTCAGCTTCACCGGAAGAAACAGTGACGATGATGAAACAGTTCGATCTCGACGGTAACGGATTCATAGATCTGGACGAGTTCGTCGCTCTGTTCCAAATCGGAATCGGCGGAGGCGGAGGAGGAGGTAATAACCGTAACGACGTTAGCGATTTGAAGGAAGCGTTTGAGTTGTACGATCTCGACGGTAACGGGAGGATCTCGGCGAAAGAGCTTCATTCGGTGATGAAGAATTTGGGAGAGAAGTGTTCTGTTCAGGATTGTAAGAAGATGATTAGTAAAGTTGATACTGATGGTGATGGTTGTGTTAATTTCGATGAGTTTAAGAAGATGATGAGTCACGGTGGTGCTTGAGAGATTGAGATTTCGCCGGAGTAGCAAATTAATTTGATTTCTAGGTTTTGTAATTAGGATTTGATGATGATCTTCTCTATGGGGTTAGTGACGACGGCGATTAGAATGTGTAAACCCTAGAAATTAAAAAAAAGGCAAATCCTCTAAATGATTCAGAAGTTTCCTTTTGTTTCATTCCTTGGTTTGTTTGTTGTGGTGATTGATAATGAAGTAATGATCATTGATTACTCTCTTAATTACAAAATTATTAAGGTCTTTGATTTAGTAATGTGATTGTGATCTCTTAACATTACCTATTACTACTACTAGCTATAACATTCACCATTACATTACCTTAGTTTTAAATTGAGTGATTTGTGAACAAGGTTATGATTTGTTTGGATATAGTGTAGTGTTAAGTGTTACCACAACCATCACTAACAAAACTTATGCGATTTTAGGCGGTTAAAGCGGTCGTTTAGGCGTAGTTCGAGCGCCTAGCACCTAATCGGAAGCCTAAAAAGTACCTTTTTTAGTCTAAATCTAGTTAAAGAAGAACATAGTTAGTCTGAAGTTGAAAATGTATTCATAACATATCCTATAAGAAAACCATGAAAAGGTATAAAAGCAAGGACTATGCAACTTCTGAATGTGGTAAGTCTTATTACTTTTTAAGAATCTTTTCTGCAGCAGCAACCATATCTTGTGACTCCTCCTCTTCAAGTACTCTTTAGGGTTTTTTTCTTGTTCTTGATTTGCTACACTCAACTTCCACTATAAGACATGGACCTTACAACAACTCAAGTGGAAACTAACAGATGATGGAGAATTATAGTAATGTCTCTTTGAATAAGTACCACCACTTCTGTTTTGGGCACATTCCCCTGGACTTATCTCACTTGCAATGAAAGCATGATCACAATGTGGACAAAGTATGGCCTTATCAAGACAAGAATCCCTTAGATATTCACCTTGTGCCTTGCATCTATTGCACATTGTCCAAAACGTACTGTCTCTAGCATTTTTGTTACCTTTGAAAGATGCTAACTTAAGTGAACTTAGTCGTTCGTTTATCCAACGAGCAAGCTTATTACTTCTACCCCCATTACTTAGATCCACACTATCTCTATCATTTTGATTCCCATTAGAAAATGGTTGCCTGAGTGAGTTAAGTCGTTCCTTTATCCAACTAGCAACCTTATTACTTAAACCCCCAACACTTGGATCAACTCTGTCTCTAGCATATTCATAACCATCACTAGAAGTAGAACTACACGGGCTTGGTCGTGTATAGTACATCCCACTAGAAGCCGGCTTATGTAAGTTTGGTTGTTTCTGCATCTTGTTTTGCTTCCTTCTTTGATCATAACAAGTTCTCTTAACCTTATCAGATAACATACACCAAGCTTGTGTAACCAGCTTAAAGGCATCTTCCGCGCCATTAAGCTTGTTCTTGTCCGGATGAAGTAAAAGAGCTAACTTCTTGTAATGTCTCTTCACTGTTTCATTATCAGCTAAAGGATCTACACCGAGGATTCCATACCAATCAGCTTCTTCTCCTCCTCCTCTGTTTGATGCAGAGATGTAAACATTGACCATCATCAACACTTGCTCCAAACCATCAAGTTTTGGAAACAAACTCTTAGCCTTGTTAATGAACTTCTTCGCCCCATCGTAATCGTTTTTCGAAAGTTTCTTCTCTGCGATCTCCATCGCTCTTCTAGCTTCTTCCTTGTTACATTCCATGTCTTTAAGAGAGTTTTATTCTCTACAAAAAACAATCTTAGAAGCAAAACAAAACTAGGTTTAAGAGATTGTGTACATAAACAAAACTGTTCAACCAGACGAAACCTTCTTCATCACCTGTGCAAGAACACACTTGCAACTCTGACCGTGACAACTGAAGAGGCTCACTAAAACCCTAATGACTTAGGATACAAACAAGAGCTAAGTCTTATGTAATATTGATTTCCTTTCTAAAATGTTTGGAAAAATGGAAGTTAGTAAAAGATAATTCAATAGTGTGACTAAATAGGAAACTATTGGCTCTGAGAATATTACTTTTGTATTGGAAACAACTTTGAAAAAATGTAAATAATTTTTGAGAAATTAGGACACTACACCTTGACGATGAAACGAGAACTCTCCTTGTTCCACTGCAATTTTAAAGTCTAAAGATGAGAAACAAAGATTTTCTAACATATCATATAGAAACCTTGAAATGTATAGTATTAAAAGCAGAACAATGCAAAATCTAAAATGTGATTAGTCTTACTTCTTAGGTCACACACAAGTCCTGGCCTTCTTAGGAATCTTCTCTGCAGTGACGTACTCCTCAAGTCTTCGTTTCGATGTTTGATTTGAGGTCTTTATCATTGACACTGATGAACACTTCCAGGTAAAAGTAACAGAACTTCTCTCAGAAGAAGTATCTTTTTGTGTGCTTTCGTTTGGTACTTTGTTTTGGCCAACACTAGTCCATTGTTGTTGCTGTTGATGATGAGAAGCTTTCTTGGTTCTTTTCTTTGGTGGTGGTGCTGCTTTTGGAGTTTCCTCTGTTACAATGAAAGTTTCATGACAAATTGGACAAATTGTGTCTTGCATCTTCTGCACTTTGGCCAAACACTAGTGCTTTCCCTATAGAACGATGATTCACCATACTCTTTACCATCTTGTTGTTGTTTTGATGGTTTCTGCATCTGAGTCTTGAATTCTTTAGGCTTCCTCCTTTGATCATAAGAAGCTCTCTTAACCTTATCAGACAACAAACACCAAGCATCCAAAACCAGTTTAAACGCACCATCGAACTTGTTCTTGTCTGGATGAAGCAAAAGAGCTAACTGTTTGTAATGTCTCTTTTACCGCTTCATCATCAGCTAAAGGATCCACGTTAAGAATCTTGTACCAGTCAGCTTCTTGATCTCCTCCACCGTTTGATGCAGATTTGTAAACATTGATCATCATCGAGACTTGTTTCAAACCATCAAGATTTGGATATAAACGTTGAGCCTTGTTAACGAAGCTCTTCGCACCATCGTAATCGTTCTTTGAGAGTTTTTTTTACAGCAATCTCTATTGATCTTTTAGCTTCTTCCATCGTTGTATAGAGAAACAAAACAGAGTCGAGAGGATTAAACAGAGGATAAGAACAGAGGAATCCGAAAAAAGAAGAAGAAGGAAACAGAAGACTTACAAAACTCGTGAAAGATCTCTCTGGTTTTGATGGAGACTTGTTACAATAACCCTAGAAGACTTATAATACAAGCAAGAGTGCTTTGGTTTGGTATATAAGTAGAAAATTATATATTTTTTATTACGGTAATTTTCCTTTTTCGATAAAAAGATTGATTTCTTTTTTTCTAAAGGATATGATTTCATTTGTTTAAAAAGATATATAAATTAAATCCAATTTAAAATTAAGGGAAAATTAGGATTTATTATTATTGTTTTTATATATGATTTTCCATTTTCAAAAAGCAGATTTATTTCCTTTTCTAATGGTAAATATTAGTTAATGTATCGATGTTATTTAAAAAAAAAAAACACAACAATAAAATTAGATTTTGTACATGATATATATTCTTAATTTTCTGTTCAAAATATATATATATATATTCTTAATTTAAGGGAAAATTGGAAATATAAAATGTGTCAATTTAATAATTCAATATATTTTTTTTCCTTTAAGTCAATATTATTGTGTGAATAATTCAATATTATTGTGTTTTGTTTTTTTAGTACAAGAGAGAAACTAAAAGTAGAATACACTAATTTGAAGTTTGTGGGAACAGAGAAAGGAGAAGTGATGTTGATCTGTGGAGACGACAAAAGATTTGAGTGCTTATGGAATTGAAAAACTCACATTGACATGTTGTGAACTTGTGATCTTCCATTAAAATATGTTCAAAACATGATTTGTTCTGTCTCACAAACTTAAACTTGAAGCTAAAGAGATAGAGATATATAAGGAGATCGAAATGTTACACTTACTCCTCATGAACTTGCACACTTTGTAGAATCAAATAAGAAAAGAACAAAGAAAAAAAAATAAACCTACAAGAGTTTATTACATAAACCAGTTTGAGATTATTTCAATGACCAGTTTTAAACTGCACCATAGTTCTAGTTTTCTAACCATATGGACAGACGACTATAACGGATCGGATCGATGTGATTTCGATCTATATACCCCTTGAACCGGGGACATCGACCCACTCAAGCTGTATCTCAACCTCTCCACACTCAACATGCTGAAGTCTAAGGAACATATTCTGGACAATCTTGCCTTGGTTCCACACAATGTGGCTCTCTTCAGACAAACAGTTGTTTCTGCTCGGCTCTAACTTCCTTATTATGGTACCATTTGGAAGTCCTGGTCCGACCTGATGGCAGAATTTGATGGCTTCAATATATGGACCAATGTGAAACTCAGCTTGTCCCATCTTGTCATCCGCGGAGAACACATCATAGTCGTAAACCGTCTGTAATCAGAAATACAAACCATTCAACATTTTGTTTCAACAATCACAAATGGTAAAATAAATGTAAAGGATTGGACCACTTACAAGTTTAATCGGGAGACTCGGATCAGTAACCGAAAGTGTCAATAAGTCGTTCCATTCGGGGTTTATACTGTGTTTCACCACTCTTGTCTTCAGCTTCTGTATCATCAAGTAAGCATAGAGAAGATTAGGGGACTAACTCATAAGTAAAGAATCAAGAACTATCAAAAAACAAACACACATGAGAAGACAAAAGAATCAAGAAGTAGCAAATGCTCTTTGATTGATCTTTAGGTAAGTCAAAAGGCAACAACTCGAGTTATCATTCCACTCATATCGTTGTGGAACCAGAGAGGATTGATGTTGACAGAAGTAGAAAAATTGATTAAAGATCACATGTACCAAAAGGACCACTAAGTAATGAAACACAACAACAATCTTGTGCTGTCTACTTAACTTGTGTAAATAAAAATCTCTGACTAATTGATTAATTTAGTAAAATTAGGTATGAACTTCTGAGACGAAACCTCTCCAAAAACAACCAAATCTTGATTATCTCAAGACCTAATAATCTCAGTTCTTGATTCTTTATGTTTTAGATCTAACCAATAAAAAAAGAACCAATCAAAATCACAAAAAGACCTCATTGAGTTTCACCACACAAGAATCACCAACAGTTTCAAGAAACACATCAGATTCTTCTAACATGCATCATCAGATCAACTCAAAGCCTTAGAAAAAACAGATTTGGTTGAGGGATGTTTATATCATTAATTACCTGTTTACCAGAGTGAACAACAACATAAGGATCACTGCTATTGAGATCTCTAATGGCGAGATTCACACCTCTCTTCACATGAATTCTCAAAAGACCCATTAGATTCTCCATTGTTTTTTTTTTTTTCTTGGTTTTGAGAGTTTGGGATATGAAACTGTGAATTTTTGAGGAATATGGAAAGCTTTGATGAGGCTTTGGTCTTATTATATACACATACCTAATAAAGAGAATAATAAAAAATAATAAATTTATCCTTTTTTTTTATAATTTCTAGGAAAGTTATAGTATTTTTTGTAATGTACCTCGAGCCACCTCTTATCATGTCTTCTTTGGTGGACTAGTTTATAAAACAAGACATGGTAAGAGTCAAGAACGTATGTAGTAGTACACTGTAGTAATCATTCACAACCACTTGTACAAAGTATAATACTATTTCTTTAATACAAACACATTTTAAACATTTTATTTTTCGTTTTTTGTATATTTTGGGACAAATTTTTAGTGTTTTTGAACTTTAATTTCGAGAGTTAAGAACAAAAAAAAGTTAGATAATTTAGGTATTTTGAGATTGTGGTTGGGTTGAATTAAAGGAAGAAAAATAATTGAATTGGTGATGGTGGTTTAGTCAATGGTTAATGGTATATTTACCTACTACAATTAAATATGATTTGTCGTATTTGATTGACCAAGACTCTTAATTATTCTTCTTAATTAGAAAGTTATTTTTTAATTACGCTAAAATTTGGATTTGATTACCAAATTAGAGTTTTGGTGCATTATTCATGTTAGATGACTCAAACCAAGTCTCGTCAACTCTTTTGTATTTTTTTCTTAAAACTATAAAATAGAGAGGTGCGTGTATTTTGACTTTTATCTATACATGGTATAAGCTTATTTGACTTTTATGAGTACAAGAAGAAAAAGATTGTATTTGTATTTTTTTATAGTATAATTGTTCTTATCAAATAAAATATAATTATTCTCTTGGTCAGACAGCAAAATTTTAATATTAATTTTGTAATTTATTCTTTAGAGAATTTGATTACACTGATAACACCTATAAATTATGGATATTTGATTTTGATCACCATATTTATATGTTTTAAATTTATTTGAATTTACTATTATATAAGTTCAAAAAAAATTTGATTGCATCTGTATTTTTTTTCTTAAAACTATTGTTTTTATAAAAAAAATGAAAATATTCTTTCTAATTAAACAACAAAATTTCAATTTAATATTCTTTATAAAATCTTATTATGGATACCTAACTTCGGTCACCACCATTTCTTTATGTTTTAAGCTTATCTGACTTTATCATTTAATAATTTCTGTAAAAACAACTTGTATTTGAATGGTTTAAAATCATTTTTCTTATGATCTTATCAAAAAAGTAAGATAAAATTAATCTTAGTTCAAAATAACTAAATTTAAATTCCATAACTCTATGATTTATTCTTTAGAAAATCCTAATACACCGAACCGATAACAATTAATTACAAATTATGGGTATGTGACTTCGATTACTATTTCTATATGATTCAAGCTTATTTCTTTAGCATTTTATAAGTTTTGAAATATTTTTTAAAAAAACAATTATTTCTCTTATTTAGAAAAGAAGATAAAATTCTTTTTTTTTGTCAAACAACAAAATTTAAATTCATAAAGTTCTTTTTTTGTATACTCTATGATTTATAATTTCAAATATCCTAATACATCAATAACAATTACAAATTTTGGATATTTGACTTCGATCACTATTTCTATAAGTTATACGCTAATTTGATTTTACCATTTAATAATTTCTGGATAAGATTGTTGTATGTATATGTAATTTCTTCAAAATTTATTCTTCATTCAAGCAACAAAGGATATAGCATAACCTTGTGATGATCTTATCGTTTAAATCTTTTAATACACAAATAAAAATTACAAACCATAGGTGTATGTAGTTGTCATTTGTTTCTATGAAAAAAATATTAGTTGCGATTTCCACCAGATGGCAAATATAATTGGTTGAGTCGTATCGACAATATATTTTGTTATTTCTCTTTCGTAGACCAACTCGAGCCATGCATGTTGTTCGGTGATTCAAGTTGAAGTTACTAATAACATTTAATAAGATCCTTAATTATATGTTGCATGATTTAATTAAGAAATTAGCAACCACCATTTTATCAAATATCTTGGCATTTCATCATATATATTTTTTAAATGCTCCTTTTGGTTTGGTTATATAATAGAAGAGATCAAGAGAATTAGTTTTCTTGATACATGAATATAAGTATTTTCTCTATTCCATATTACCCACAATTTTTTTTTAAAAAAAACAATGACATTTTATGTAAAAACTTACAATACTAAAAGTCAAAAATACAACATTTGCAGACATATCACCTGTTTTTAGTTGTATTTCACCTAATGTTGAATAAATATTTTCTGCCTAAATCCAATTACTTTGTTAATAACTAAATATTATAGACATTTGAGAAATTAAGAAAGGAGGCTAAAGGAAGCCATAGTGATTTGCCTAATAGTACCCACAATTTTGTTATACACCTAATTTTATCCACATTTTTATGGAGTGTAATCTGATACTACTTTCTAAAGTCTAGTTGCCATTATTGATATTTTGTATGGGAGGATAAAATAATGTTGACCGATTCTTTCACTAAAGTCTCCATCAAATTAATATTACGTTTTGTACAAATTAATGATAGAGAAAACAATGTTTTGTGGTGGAGTAGTGATTCCACTCATCTATCATAGGTGATGCTTGATGCTTCCACATTTGAGCTAACACAAGCCCATGGCATTAGATTCTCCATTGTTATAATTAAATTAATGGTTAAACTACTCATTGATAACCATTAATTTTAATAACAAATTTAGAGTAGCTTTAGTAGTTCTTCACATATCTATATATGAAGCGTGAGCATATTGTAAGGTTCTTCTTGATCGAGTACCGATGGATCTTGAAACTCCCAACACTTACCTTTCATGTTGTCCTTCTTCTCTTGCTTTGTGCCTCTATAAAACTTAAGCAATAAGCAAATGAGTTTCATTCTTCTTTAATGGTCTATACACAAAGAAGTAGTAAATGAAAGGGAAGAATAATAAGAAGTTGTTGGTGAGTGTGAATGTTCTTGGAAGTGTTGGTCCTATAAGGTTTTTAGCCAACGAAGACGATGAAGTTTCAAGAATTATAAACACAACTTTGAAAGCTTATGCTCGTCAAGGCAGGGTTCCGGTTCTAGGGTTTGATGTCGATAACTTTATCTTCTACTCCATTAATCCCGGATTCAATAGTATTCTACCACACTCTTTACTTGTTCAATAGCATATTCTTGATTAGTTTGATTTTATTATTTACCATCGTTTTGGTGTTATTGTGTTATATAGCTTTGCACCCACAAGAGAAGATAAGTTCAATGGATATAACGAATTTCTTGTTGTGCAAGAAAGAGCCAAGGCCATTGGAAGAAGTCGAGGGAGTAAGAGGAGGGAGTAAAGCTCGGATAGTTCATGGATGGAAAAATCGTCTTCTTCGGTCCTTATTAGGATAAATTCTTCTTATACAATCACAAATCTAACTCCTTACAACACAAAAAGGACTAAAGATGATATTGTTCAGTGATGTGGACGGTTACTGTATCCTAGAAATTTGTCCTACTTTACGTCTCAAAGTTAAAAAATTAAAACAAAAGGAGAATGTTTGGATCAAAAGCTTTATCCCGTTCACTACTTCTCCTCACTTCTCTAGCTCAAGAAGCACAAATCCAACAAAGTCAAGTATTTTCTTGATTCTGACAGCCCCGAATACAAACATCTGTATGCTCCCTGTTGTCCCTCTCTTTGGGTGCAGTGCTAAAGAATCTAACTGTGTACAATTCTATTGTGGAGCATGCGGAAGTTCCAGTCTTATTGTTGAACCAAGGATTCACACAATGAACTTGTTAAGAAAGAGGAAACAAATTCACTTCAACAATCTCTCAAAGAACTCGATCAAAGAAATGAACAAAAAGGGAATTTTAATCTCTTGGGTTAGAAGTTAGGTTTTGCTCAAGAACGATTGAATAACTAGGGTTTTGTATTAATTGCTTGATGCCTTGAATAGGAGACAAACCCCTATTTATATGTAAATAGTGAGATTACAATCAGGAAATATTCCTTAAATCTAATGGTTAAATCTATTTAGATTTTCCTTTTGTTGTTTGGAAACTTCAGAATGAGAGGTCGGTTGGGCGACTTCCATGGGCTTTTGCCCATTAGGCCAATTTAACAGGTCTTACTCGAGATACCCCAGTTTAATTGTATTTTGAGATTACTCGATTTGTCTTTGGTTTAGGTCGGTATGTCGTTGGTGCTAGTTCCTCTGTTTTTTTTTTTTATGTTGCTTTTTCTACTCTAAGCATACACAATTAAATAGAAGGTGAGAGAGAGATGGTATGCTAAATAACATGATGTTTTCTATATGAGTATGGATAAAGCATCATGGAGTCATGAGTATGGATGAAGCATCATGGAGTCAATCTAATTTCAAAGGCATTTGTAGTATCAAAGAAGAAAAGGAGAAAGATATTCATTTAAAGAAATCATCATGGAGTCATTTGAATTAGACATTTGAGTCGCTATATGTTTAGTTTTACCGTTGATAAATATACTAGAGAGGCCTTACGCAAACAAATTACACTTAAAAAACATATTTTCAACTATGGGTACAAGTCACATAAGCCTTTCAACAAATAAAATATTGAACTAAGAATTGTAGAGCTTTACCCCAAAGGGAGGGAGCTCTTCCAGAAATTCTCGAAGGCCCAAGACAAGCTTAGGCCCAGGAGGGGGTTTGGAAATAGTTTTCAACCAGCAATAGACGCGCCTCGGTTAAGACCTCATTAGCTGCGTCATTGCCCCAAGCGCAAAGATAAGTTTAAAAAAGTAAGAGCCTCGTTATTTATAACCACACAGAACATATGAATCTGCAATATACTTCCGATGTGGGATACCAATGTAATAAACACACGTCACTACAAACTTGGTTGTATCTGTTTCCGATGTGGGACTAAAATAAATTACATACTTCGACAAAACTTGTACTGTGGAGTGTGCAAACAAAAATGCTTAAGACTACTGAGAATGGTAGGGGCTGCGCGAACGCAAACCCCCTCTGCCACAAATAATGACGCAGGCTCTTCCTCATGGGAAGACCTTAAGCTAAGCACCCCTCCGTTATGTGCAATGGAGGTCACTAGCCTAGGCCACTCGTCTTCTTGATCACGAGTTGACCCCGTCCAGGTAAGTAATTTGATCAAACCAGCCACATCTGTATTTATACTCCTGCTTCTCCAGTCATTGCTTTGTATCTGAGCGATGTGGGACATTTTTAGTGTATTAGCACATCCTGCCGTTCAAGGCTTCTGGTTTCCAACAACGTGCTAGTTTCTCTCACAACTGCATGAGTGTTTTTTTTTGTGTTGTATACACATGGGCCGGATGTTTTAGGCTTAATTAATGTCTGGTTGTTGTTTTTTAAGTGACAATAGCATAATTGTTTTCGAAGCGGCCCAATACGAAAAGTCCAGAATTGAAATGAGAAAGTTATTGTCACAAAATATATAGTGACGAAATGATCAATATTATTCTTACCAAAAAAAATATGATCCATAATATTGAGAACAATTTGACTGAATTATGAAAAAAGATTGAAATGATTTAAAAAAAATTATAGAAGTATATTTGGTGATAAATAGTAAATATATTCTGAATCATTATTGACCAATTCATTTTTTTGGAAAATTAGTTAATATTAATGTAATTGTTTATATAAAAAATACTAACCAATATCGTTTATGTAGTAACATTTAATTTGTCCAAAAAAAAGTCATACAAGTTGAAATAAATTCCATTTCATGATGTTTAGTATTTGTTCCCAATTCTCATTATTATAGGAAAACGATAATTTTTACCATTAGGACAAATCTTTTACACAATATTTTTATATATCATTCTATTATATATTAATTTTTTTTATAAAAGTTAATTGAATATTTTATACAAGTTTTTTTTTTTCGATCAATTTGCTTACCAATTCAAATTCCCCAAATTTGAATTTTTTTACGAGTTCAAAGTTGTCGAAAATAATTGTGGGATGTAAAAGTAAAATAGACTAACCTTCCGATGGTTAAATGAAAAATAAACATAAAAATAAAAATAATTGTGCGAAAAGACGAAACGGCGGCATATTACGAAACTGTCCTTGCGCTAGGCTACTACATTATTCGTTGTGTCCTTTGGTTGACTTGACTCAAATCACATTCTCTCTGCTAAAACAATTCAGAAAAAAATCCCAAACGCACACAACTCAATAGGAAAGCTCCTCAAAAACCCTAAAACCCAAATCTCTCCATCTTCTTCCATCTCTCTCTCTCTCTCGTTGATTCTGCTCTTGCCTGGTAAGTTCTCTTCTTGCGAATCATTCGTCCATAGAGATTGCGAATCATCTCTCTCTATATCTTTTTGCGAATCATTCCTCCATAGAGATTGATATGTAATTAGATTGATTTTGTTCTGTTTTCATCTGATTCCATGCGAATCCCAGATTCTCGTTTCAGAAACTAAGTCTATGGTATGTAAAGATGCGTAGATCTAGGGTTTTGATAGATATATTCGTTTAATTTGAGAACGATCGAGCTCTTCGTATGTGATAGCTGGTCTAGGGTTTATTCGATTTCAGGTTTTTGTTAGCTGGTCTAGGGTTTATTCGATTTCAGGTATCTAGCCCTCAATCATATGATTAGCTTGAATTTTCATCTGCCTTTGTGTTTCTTTGTTGCTGTACTGGGTTGCTCTAAAATTTTGTTTAGGCCATCCTTGATTTGTAGTTTTTGTGTTTGTGTTAGTTGTTCATGTTTCTGGTGGTGTATATATGCAGGTATTCAGATTCAGTCTTATAACTGTGTTTCGTAAGACAAATTGGAAGTGAAGATGTCGGGAGCATTGAATATGACTCTTGATGAGATTGTTAAGAAGGGTAAGAATGCAAGGTCTGGGGGAAGAAGAAGTTCCCGTGGACGTGGTGGTGGTGGTGGTGGTGGCCGAGGTGGTAGTGGTGGCCGAGGTGGTGGATCGAATGGTTTTCTTGGTGGTGGAAGAGGAGCAGGGCCTGCTCGACGAGGTCCTTTAGCTGTGAATGCTCGTCCATCGTCTTTCTCCATTAACAAGGCAAGCTCAAAATCTGGGATCTTCTATCTAGTATGATTTGGAAGTCTGAGTTTCTGTGGTATTAAATATCAAAGGGCTTACATCATCATGCTATAGCTATATGATGGGAGAAGCAGGCTTTTCTCGTGCATTCGAAAAGCCTTACTTCTGATGTTAGTTTGACATTCTTTAACATCCAGAATCTCGTCTAGGAGATGATTTCATTTAGAAAAGTCTCTTATCCCTGCAATTGTGAGGACTTTGGCAGCCATGCATCGACATGTGCACGAGTTCTCATGATTTTTTTACCACAGTGCTTTTTAGCTGAGGAGCTTCAGTAAGTTAAAGGTCAAAATTTGTCATCCAGAACAATGGTATTGCTATGAAAAGAATAGACGTGTGGTGTTGTAGCATTTGGGGGAACGTTCAGTAACTGTTGTGGCAGTAAATACGCTATGTAGTGGCTTACCTCTACACAGTTTATTTGCATCATGCGTGAAGTTATTGATGAACCTCTTGCTACGTCTGGAATTTCTTCAGCATGCTATGAACATCCTGGTTTTTCTTTTATCATCATAGTGGTATAAAGAATTTGTTTTGCAACCGGAGCAGTGACCAATACGCAGCCTGCCATAATTCATTGTTCCTCCATTTCATTTTGGTTTTCTCCTTGGGTGGTTCTTCACTACTTGGTGGAGCTCTTTGCTTTGACTGGTTTTCGCTCTTTCAGAAAAATGGGTGGTCTCTTCTTTGGAATTATGTGTCATTCTCGTTGTTTTGATGTTCGACAGACAAGTTGTACTGAAATGATTATGTTCTATTGAATAGCCTGTCCGTAGGGTCAGGAGCTTGCCATGGCAAAACGGTTTATTTGAAGATGGCCTAAGAGCTGCTGGGGTATCAGGAGTTGAAGCTGGAACCAGGCTCCATGTTACAAATCTGGATCAGGGTGTGACAAATGAAGATATAAGGGTATATAGAATCTGGCTTGTCTTTTCTGTGCTTATTGTATCTTTAAAGGCGAGAAGGTTAAATCTTCGTCTTTATCGGATCTAGGAACTCTTCTCTGAGATTGGGGAGCTAGAGCGTTATGCCATTCATTATGACAAAAATGGGCGTCCAAGTGTAAGTCCTCATGAATCTTTATCAGTCCCTATCTCTTCATGATTGTGATTGTAAAAAAAGCTTCATCTTATATTCTCTTTTTTTCTTTGGTGCCATGGTATTATAGGGCACAGCTGAAGTGGTATATCCAAGAAGAAGTGATGCATTTCAAGCTCTGAAGAAATACAACAATGTATTATTGGATGGAAGACCAATGAGACTTGAGATTTTGGGTGGCAACACTACTGATGCGCCTTTATCAGGTCGTGTGAATGTGAATGTCACTGGACTCAACGGAAGGCTGAAGAGGACTGTTGTTATCCAGTAAGAATTTCTGTCTTTTGTTCTTTACTGTACGCACCCTCACATGAATAACTGTTGAGAGCCTTAACCCAAGATTTATGCAATCTTTTTCTGATATTGTAGACAAGGAGGAGGGAGAGGAAGAGTAAGAGGAGGGAGAGGAGGAAGAGGTCCTGCTCCTACTATCAATCGTCGCCTTCCAGTGTAAGCATAATTTAATATGAGTAACGTAGAACCAAACTGAGATTAATCAAATTGAAACCGAACAGAGTTTCTTATTGACCTGAACAGTCACAAAACTGAACAAATCAAAATTCTTAGTTGATTAATTTCTTTAGTTTCGGATAATGTTTTAGTTTCAACTTCTTTCCCAAATCCGAAACCTTGAAAACCCAACCGAAAACCCAAATTACTAATGAGTTATATTTATCTTGGTGGCAGTCAAAACCAGCAGGGAGGGACGAGAGGAGGAAGAGGCGGGTTCCGTGGTAAAGGTCGTGGTGGTGGTGGCCGCGGCCGTGGTGGTGGAAGAGGAAATGGAAAGAAACTAGTGGAGAAATCAGCTGCTGATCTTGACAAGGATCTTGAGAGCTATCATGCAGATGCCATGAACACCTCTTAAACCTTAGAAAGGAATCAGTGTTGTCTTACTAACTAGTTTCGAATGATACATTGCTTCTCTTTTTTCATGCCTTTCGTTTCTAGTGATATTGTGGTTTTGTTTGAGTTGATTGTGTAAAGTATGAAAGTTGTTTAGATCTTGTCGTCTTAAAGTTAAGTTTTGAAACCCTTCAGAGTTACATACATCGAGCATTTTTGAGCAATTTGGACAAAATTTTCTTTTGACATTTTCTTGACTCGGACCAACTTAGCCGGATTATAGACACTCTCACACATCTATAAAGCCTAGATTTGAATTTACAAAACTGAGAAGAAAAATAACAAACTTCATCGAATCATAATCAACCTGGTACAAGTCTACCTTTCCGGAACAGCATTGTCGTTGAATACGAATTCGCCGGAATCACTTCGATGGAAAAGCTTCTCCACCACTTCATCCCAGTTCTTCTTCTTCGTTTTTGACTCCGCCGATGCTTCTCCATTATTGCATTCTTCTTCTTCTTCTGCGGTGGACACTGCGTGCGGAATATTAAGACTCACTGCTCTCTCCAACGCATCTTTGTGCTCTTTCTCTAAAGTGTTTAACCTCTCCATTCTCTTCTGTTTTGGTGCCATTGTTACCACTGACTCTGAACTCTTCTCTCTCAATATCTGTAACCACACATCACAAATCCCATACTTTGTTGTGAACACTCTTGTTTCTATTTTCTCTACTATATCCAAAGAGAAGAAATAAAATTCACCTGCAAAGCCTTTTCTGCTTCTCTTTCTATCCATAAAATCGCATGATCAGCCGTTGCATTCGATGATAATACAATATGTTCAAATCTACCATCCACCGGGATCGCTGTTCTCACTTCAGGAGGAAACCTTCCACATCTAAATACAAACAATAAATCAGAAAAGAATCACAAAACAAACTTCAGCTAAGAAACAGCACCACTAACTTCATTATTACCTGCAAAATTGTCGCTCAACGATATGATAAATACGACCAGGCGCATAAAGTCTCCTAGGATCTCTTAGCTTCCGACCTTCAGGTATAAACGTATCCCTCAAACAAACAAGAAACAACAAGCAAGGCAAGCTGTCCAAAACAACAAATACAAAATGTTGAATCAACCTATATACAACAAAGTTCACACCAATAAACGAAAACATACGCAAAGTTCGACACTTACCAGAATATAGACTTGAATATATCCTCTAACGGTGTCGCCGTTCTTGGTAAAAAATCATCCTACAATTCAACAAAAATCTAAGTTTATTCTTACTCTAACAAAACCACTTTCTTCAAAAGCTATAGATACCTTTCTTAACAACCAAACAAGCTTCCTACTCAAGTACAAAGTTTTATCAGAATATTCTAACCAAACTCAAGAAGCAAAAATGAAAAATTCAATTTGTCGATTCCATGTATAAGCACAAAAGCATATTCCTAACTTACGAAAGATGATTATGACAATGCTTTGTCAACAATGAACCAAACCACCACGATCCAACAATACAGTTACAAAAATAATATAATTTTTCATACCAACACGTTTATATATAAATCAACAAAATAGTTGTCAAAATCAAATCTCCAACCCCTAAAACAACTAATCCATAACATTTCAAAATATAAATCCTTAATTACAATAGATTAATACACATCTAACATTGCACAAAACTAGTGTCTAAAATCAGCTAAATTCACACATTTTAACAATAAGTTTTCCCTCTAATTTATGATTACACTAATCTTATTTTTTCTGGAATCTTTTAAAAAATTGGGTTATAAAAATACTAAACCTGTAAAATAACAGAGAAGATGACGTCAGCATACTTAACGGCGAGATTAAGAGACATACACCTCGCCGGAGCCAAAGCAAAACACCGAACTTTACTCCTCGGAACACCACCGATCATCGCCGGATTAGTAACAACCAAAACCGCCATCAACGCCGCAACACCAGAACCCAAAGAATGACCAGCAAAAACCAAATCATACTCTTTACCATTCTCTTCCCAAACCCTTCTAAGCGTCTCAGATTCTTGATTCAGAACCCAAGCCGCAGATTTCAAAAGCCCACGATGCACAAACCCACCACCGAGCATCTTCTGGCCCAATTTGTTATCCAAAAGGATCTTGTAATCACTCTCTTTAGCTAAGTTCAAGCCACGGATCGCTAGTACGATCTCACGGTGGTCATGGTCGACGTAGATGATGTACGGTGGAGATCTTCCTTGGGTTTTTTCGTGGGTTACACGTTTGATGACCCAGTCAGGGTTTAGATCGAAGCTTCCTAGTGAAGGTGAGATTTTTGGGTTTCTTAGATCGGGTTCGTAGACGGCGAGGATCACGCGGCTTATTCTTGGGATTGGTTCGAACTCTTCGGGTGTTGCTGATGTCCATGTGGCACTGTCGTCTGAGCCTATGTATGTGCATCGTTTCCATATCCATCGACTGAAGCCTACGCAGAATACACATTCTAGTCCACAAGCTACTGACATTTGTTAAGGTAAAGATTGAGACTTTATGATTCAAAGGTGAGATTTTTTGGGAATTGGAGGAGTTGGGTCTTTGAAGAGATGAGATGTTGAGGTTTTGGAGGAGGAAAAATTGAAACTTTTGATTCAAAGGTGAGATTTTTTTGGAATTCAAGAAGTTGGGTCTTTGAAGAGTTGAGATTTGGGGTCTGAGGAGGAGGAAAAATTGAAACTTTTGATTTAAAGGTGGGATTTTTTGGAAATAGGAGAACTTGGGTCTTTGAATAGATGGGATTTGGAGGTTATGGAGGAGGAAAAATTGAAACTTTTGATCCAAATGTTAGATTTTTTGTAGTTAGACAAGTTGGGTCTTTGAAAAGTTGAGATTTGGGGTTTTGGGGAGGAGGAAAGATTGAAACTTTGGACTCAAAGGTGAGATTTTTCTGAAATTGGAGGACTTGGGTTTGTTAAGAAGAGCAAAATTTGAGATAAAGATGAGATTTTTATAACTAGAAATCGATTGAACTGAGATTTCAAAGTTGAAATTAAGGTTAGGGGGAAACACATGAAAAAGAAGAAAAGAGAGTTGCAATTAAGAGCAAAAAGGGTTTTAAAGAAGAAGAGTCCAGCTAAGACTAAAAGAGACAGATAAGAGAGATGATGATCTCGACTTCTCTCTAATGGGTGTTTCGAGACAGAGACAGGGTAGCCCAAAAAGCAAGACTTCAAGAACATGTCTTTCAATATCCTTTCATATTTCTTTTTAATTTCTTGATTCTTCTCTCATAGTACAGGAGAGGCTAAATGTTGACTATTATTTTAATTTTCAGGTTATTGTTATTTAGTATTTGTTTGCCGACCAGGTTATTAATTTTTAGGAGAATTACTTATGTAGAGCATAAAAGTAGGTTTATTCTTTAAACAACCACATTTTTTTTTATTCTTAAACTAGGATATACCCCGTGATATACCACGTGTCCATAATTTGATATATTTGTTTAGTTGATCATTTTCGTAATTGGTATATATAGTCTAGTTTTATAAGTGTGTATTTTATTTTAATTGTATATAATTTTTTGAATTTATATTATAAGTAAATTCATAGATATATATGGTCAACCCGCGATACACCGCGAGACAATTTTGTTGTAAATAAAATTTTTTATTTTAACTTAACCCGTAAAAGATTTCAAATATAGACAATCCGAAATAAAAAAATATAATCATATTTATGTATACTCAAACCTGTTCAATCATATTTACGTACAATTTTGTTATATTTTTAGAGTTCAAATATTAATAATACTTTAAAATTTTGAAGAGTTCGGTTTTTTAATATTTTAAATATTCTATAAAACTTAAATTAAATATTATAATTTTCAGCTTTTAAAAGTTTTAATATTTATAATACTTTCAAATTTAAAAATTAAAATAAAATTTATAATATTTTAAAACCTTTTAAAAGTTTTATTTCTCTTAAATAAGGAACCATATTAAACTGAATAAAATTTTAATTTTGGATACCTGAGAAATCAAAGTTCATGTTCATTTGTAGTGGTGAACTTATTAGTCGTATTTATAATGGTTTGAACTATAATCTAAAATTTTATACTTTATGTAGACGTTGTACATATATTTTTTCCTTTATCGATTGAGTTATATATATGCGTTCGTTTTCTAAAATTTACATTGCAAAATGTGTGGAAAAAAATTTGTATTTTTATTATAAATTTATTTTATGTAATAATATAAATTAAAAACAAATAAGATTATATAAATATATTGGAGAGAGATTCAATTTATTAAAGAGAGAGTTTAGGAAAAAAATTTGATGTAATAAATATTTGTTTCCATTTTTGCGATTTGCTTGTGAGTTGATTACAAAATTTACTTTTAAGTTTTGTTATTTATTCAAATGGCAAGGGTTTGATTATGTAAATAATACAAAATAAAAGGTTATAATACAAATTAGATTTTAGTACAAAATGTACTTTAAAAATGTTAAGATAGATGTTTAGTGAGATGAGTGTAATTATAATAAACACCTTTGCTATGTTTTCCCTTAAAAATTGTCACGTCAGATTCGACATGCTATGACATACCTGAAATTGCCACATCATTATTCTGTCTTTAATGATAAAAGAGAAAGAAACTAAACATTTTCGTCACTATTTACAAACAAAAAAAAAACTGTTTTTTCTCTCTCGAAACCAACGAATAACCCTAACTCTCGCCATTTTTCTTTCTCGTTTCTTCCGGCCGATTATCCTATTATCAGTGTGTCTCTCTCTTTCTCGTCGTTATTGTTGTCGCATTTCTTCTCAACTTGGATAGAGACTTTTCATTTTCTGACAAAAATAACATGGAAATACGAAACGTCGTTTACGGCTGAGTTATGGTACATTACGGCTGAGTTATGACACATTGCGGCTGAGTTATGGTACATTACGGCTGAGTTATATTATGACTTATTGTAAGTTACGGCTGAGTTGTGGTTTTTTTTGTAATTTTTCACACACATGAAAAAATATTTCTACCTCGGCGAAGAACCCTAATTCTCGCCGCTTCTCTCTCTCTCATCTCTTTTGGCCGCTTCGATTCTCAACGAATCTCTCTCTTGTCGTCATTCCTATCGTATTTCTTCTCAAATTGCGTACATCCAATGTTCTAAGAAAAGAAAAGAGTTCTTGGTCCTCACATGTGGTTCTGTTCATGGTGAGAGTTGCTTTGAAGATGACAATAATGAACACGAAGAGAGTGAACGGTAAACCTATGGCACTAACTCGTAATCTCATTACTGTATTGTTATTTTGCCAGCATATCGAAATCTCATATCCCATTTTCGGGTTTTGTTTCATTTGTTGCAAAAAAAGGTGTTTATGTCAGATTGGAATATGCCAAGGAAAAGGCAGAAGACTAAAAAGAATAAGAAAAAAAATTGTTCTTTCTCTCTCGAAACCGACGAAAAACCCTAACTCTCGCCGCTTATTTTTCTCGTCTCTTCTGGCCGCTTATCCTATAATCGGTGTGTCTCTCTCTTTCTCGTCGTCATTGCTGTCGCATTTCTTCTTAACTTGGGTGGAGACTTTTCGTTTTCCGACAAAAACAGGGAAATACAAAACGTCGTTTACGGTTGAGTTATGACACATTGCGGCTGAGTTATGTTACATTACGGCTGAGTTATATTATGACTTATTGTAAGTTACGGCTGAGTTGTGGTTTTTTTTTGTAATTGTTCACGTACAGGAAAAAATATCTCTACCTCGGCGATTCCGGCGAAGAACCCTAATTCTCGCCGCTTCTCTCTCTCTCATCTCTTTCGTCCGCTTCGACTCATACCGACGAGTCTCTCTCTCTCTCTCGTCGTCATTGTAATCGCCTTTCGTTTCAACTCGGCTGGAGACTTTTCGTTTTCCGACGAAAAAACAAAAGGGAAATACGAAACGTCGTTTTCAACTTTTTCTCTAAGTTATGCCGTATTGTGGCTGAGTTATGATACATTACAGCTGAGTTATGGTGCATTACGGCTGAGTTATGCTACATTACGGCTGAGTTATGATATACTTTCTCGAGATTACAAAAAAGTGTTTTTCGGGAAAGACCAACAATAATTACGTACACATATTCACACGCACACGCATAATAAAGTCATAGAGTATTATGTTTTAAAAAA